TTGTTACATCTGGGGTATTATGTGGCAGGTGCTTGTCTGTTTGAATTATAGAACCTTATAGCACTTTAGCTTCATTATTTGCTATTACTCTGTCTATTTTGTGGTTGCACCAGTTTTTTGCTTGGAGGCAAATGGTATTTCTTGCAGATATTCTAATGTTGTGATGGAATCTGGCGCTGGTTGCAGAAGGGAGGGGCTCTTTTGGCATACCAAGGATTCAAACCTGATTCGTCTTTTAGCTTCTTGAGAAAGAGTTTCTCCCTCCCCCCAAACCATTACAATTGTAGCTAGTTTGTCATGCCATTTGTAGTCAGTCTGTGCAGTCCCCTTCAGCAACTAACTAGGTGTCCACCATTTCTCCCACTTTTTTTGTAGAGACAGCATTTGCTGTCTGTTGCTGTCTTCTCAATTTTTGTACGGGCTAATTCGGGTGTCGGTAACCCATAGCTCCAGAGCTGCATGCGGCTCTTTGGGCCCTCTGCTGCGCCTCCCTGTCCCATCACTGGCTGACCCTGCCCCTCGCCCTCCCCTCCCAGTCACTCCTCGCCTGGCCTTCGAAATTCGAGAGATACAGAGACGGGGAGAGAGAGAGACATAGATGGGGGGGGAGGGAGAGAGAGAAGAGGGAGAGAGAGAGAGATACAGAGGGAGGGAAAGAGCAAGAGAAAAAATGGTTTTGTGGTTCCTGGTGTTTTTTAACCAGTTCTCTGCCCTAATGATTGGCTGGGTAGGCGTGGCTAGGGAGTCATGTGACTGGGTGGGAGTGAGTGAAGTGGAGTTGGCCACCCAAGTTTTGTGGCTCCCTGTGTTTTTTTTTTTTTCTGTGGGAAACGGGTCCAAACGGTTCTTGAGCGTTTAAGGTTGCAGACCCCTGGGCTAGTTCTTAAGGCTTGGTCTTGTGCAGCTAGAATTAACCCCTCTTATAATAATGGGGCCATTAGAATCAGGGCCGTCTGGATTTTGCGGGGACCTTTGTGTCAGAGGGCAGGTGCTGCTGCAGAGGGAAGGCAGACTTCCAGGATCCCATTAGATGACATTGTTTACTCAGAGGAACCCAGGGAACACCAACTCTGCAGGATCAAATTGGTCGAGTAGATGCTGTGGGAGACACATGATATCACATAAAGAGAACTTCTGAATACAGGTAGTCCTTGACTTACATCCATTCATTTAATGGTAGTGCAAAGTTATGAAGGCACTGAAAAAAAGGGACTTACGACCAGTCTTTGCACTTATGACCATTGCAGTGTCCTGCAATCATATGATCAAAATTTGGTTGCTTGGCAACTGGCATGAATTTGCAACAATTGCAGAGGCCCATGGTCACATGTTCACCATTTACAAACTTCCCGGGGAGCTTCTAACCAGCAATTTTCATTGGTAAGCGAGGCAGTTGTTAACTGACTTTTGCCTCATTTTACAACTTTTCTTGTCACAGTTGTTAAGCGAATCACTGAAGTTGTTAGTAGCATGGTTGTTAAGTGAATCTGGCTTCCCCATTGACTTTGCTTATCAGAAGGTCGCAAAAGATAATCACATGACCCTGGGACACTGCAACCGTCAGCAAGAGTCAGTTGCCAAGTGTCTAAATTTTGATCACACGACTATGAGGAGGCTGCGACGGTCATAAGTCACTTTTTTCAGTGCCTTTGTAACTTTGAACAGTTACTAAATGAGTTCTTGTAAGTCAAGAACTACCTATACTTGTGGAGCTGATTGGCAATTGAAAGTAAAAACAATGTCATTAGCTGATGCTTTTGTAAAATTAAAAGTTTCTTTTTAAAAATGTTCCAAGTCAGGGATGGCAGAAATCTTGCTGGGCAGGAATGCTATGCTAAAAAACCCAACAAACTACCATTATATTAAATATATTAAATACCAATGGACAGAGGATATACGTAGATAAGATCCTAATTTCCCTGTTGCCTTCACACATTCATGTGGACATCACGCCATCTCTCACTTTCCAGTGGCTAGAAACATAAGAGATGAGAAAACTTGCTTTCCCGGCTCTAGTTTCCATGCAGTATTTTTTTTCTTTGTGTTTTCCTATTGATATCAAGTTCCTGCACCTCAGCAAACTAGTTCATATTTGTATCGGAAGCACCTACAGTACAAAGCTAACCAAAATGATAGGCTGGGATTCATAGTTGTAGCAACAGGTGGCTTTCCCCCATATCAAATCAGGTTGTACAATCTGGGATGGGCCTAGCACACATGCTTCGGTACGCCTGCCCATCAGCTTGGGTGTAACCAAACTCAGTCCTTTGATATGAAAGCAGAGAAAGTTTCCTTCAAGCTGGATTGGCAGACTTGATCCTTTCTTAGAAGTATTGGAAACTTAGCAAGTTCTGAGTATCCATCCAAGAACTGCTTCTAAATACTGTAAATTCTAAATACTGAGTGGAGAATGTGGCAGATGAGATCATTGGATGGTTTCTCTATAAATGCTTTTCTTGCTGCAGACAGCTTCCTGGTATGGATATATTATTTCATATATTCTATAGGGTTTGAATCCTAGGCTCATTTTGCTTGTGTAAACAGAGCTTAGATAACTGATTTAAATATTTTTGTTGGCGTCTTATCTTTCTTTATTATTATGCTAAAACTACATAGTGCATCCAAATACTATTGTGTTCTGTGTTTGAAGGGGGTTAGTATCCTTTTTGTTTGTCTGAAACCAGAGAGATCTTCCTATGGCAGCTGTCCTGAACTAGGAAGCCAAACTGGTTGGGGTGCAGCAACAGCTGGTATGTGTGGCGTTTCAAATTTGGTTTGAATGGCATCCACCCTACCTATGTTTATAAGGTGTCAGAGTTTGCTAGCAGAAACAGGAAGGGAATGGCAAAGGTGGAAAGCTTCTGGCTCACCTGAGAAGTTTCTACTGCCTCTTTTACATTAAGTTTGGTTTTTCTCAAATCTGACTTGTGCCATAGCTTTGAGTGGGTGATTTTAATATTTATACATTACACCTCCTATGTTAAGCAAAGCTGAACTATGATTTGTTTGCTCCATGTCTTGTATGAGGAAAAAGGAAAATGTATTTTTTAAGATGTGATTCATAGTGCAGGATGATAGCCATTTAAAAGAAAGTTCAATTTTTTTGCAAATACACAAAAAGATACTATCCATAAGGAATAATTCAAGTAAATGATGAAAAAATGTGTCATTTTTTTCTGAAAAAAAATGTGGGTAGTTCATTTATTTCAAGTCTAATTACTTATTTATATAGGTAAATTTAAATGTATTTATTATTCAATCCCTACGGACTAAGCACCTTTAAAAATGTTTCAGAGAAAGGAACTTCTAACTTACTAGTCCTGGATGGGGAGCCCCATGGAATGCAAGGGCTGTAGGCAAGATCATGAAATCAAGAAAACAACCCAAAAGAAGGCAGTGGCAAACAATTTCTGTATTGTTGTTGTATTATGTCTATCTAATTATCAGAGATTTGATTACTAATTTATTTGAGATTTAATGTAGTTATGCAAACAAATTTAATAAGTATGAGCTAATAAATGTATTGTACAAACAACATTAATGTTAAATAATACCACTACATGAAACTGTTAAAACAATGCAGCTCACTTTTTACATGTTGTTCCTGCCTTATCAGTTACCAGAATGATGATCAGCTTCTGGTTTGCTACCTATTCTAAACCAACCATGATTAGGAAAGTTTATTTTTTTGTTAAAATCTCTAGATTTTGTCTGCCATAAGCAAGTGGTGGATAGAGCCAAGCATAGAATAAGTAGCATATCGTGTATGTACCGTATTGTAACAGCTTCTCTGGCAATAAATGCTTATCTACCCTGAGGAAAGTCAGGGAAGTAATAAATAAAATTATTTTTTAATTCTTTGAAAATGGAATGTAACAGAAATCTGACCAAATGCAGTCAGATAGTCCAGAACATTGCTACATATAAGGTACACATATATTCACACACACTATATTAAGAACAAAGCCTTCCTCTATTTTTAGAGAGACAATAAATTCACTTTGCTTTGGGGTTTAGTACCACTTTTACTATAGATCTAATAACTGAATTTGGGCCAACAAAATGTTTCTTTTTAATTCTACAACTGTAATACAGGAAAAGCAGTAATCCTTATTATTCCCCTAAAGGCATTCATGTAGCGATACAGTGAGAAAGACCTGTTTGCGTTCCTGTTGTTTTTAAGTAAACTTATAAGCCGCCTAGATATTCTGGAAGCTGTAAATGTAGATGCTTGCTATTCTTTGTGTAGATGAGTTTTAATGTATATTCTTGTGATTCAGGGAAATGGGGGGATGTGGATGTTTTGAATACATAAAAGAGCTCTGGTTGATTGCATAGATAGGATGGGAAGACATACTGTAGAGGACTTGGTCTCTCATCTTCTCTCTGCATAGAAAGCAAGTAAGAGCTTTAAGGAAGGAAACCCTTTCATCTGAATCCCTTTCTTATTATTACAACTCCCAGCAGGCTAAAAAAAATCCCCAGAAATTAATTCTGGAGAGTTACTGTAGTTATAAAGCAGAGTTAATTAGTCATATGTAGGGAAAAAAATGCAGCAGTGGATCTATGTGTGACTTCTTTTTCATGTTTTCAGATTTAAGGGTTTATTGTATATTTCCCCAATGTATGCTTTAATCTAGCCTTTTCCATCTTCTAGAGCAGGGGTCCCCAACCGCTGGTCTGTGGACGGCAGTGGGTCGTGGCATGCCAGAAACCAGGCCACGCAAAAAAGCGAAGCCCCATCTGTGGGATGCAGGCAGCATGCGAAACCACGCTCCCTCTAGGCCACGGAAAAATCTCTCTTCTCAGAACCTGTCCCTGGTGCCCAAAAGATTGGGGGCCACTGTTCTAGAGTGCACTGAAATGTCCTATTGTGCCACCTTCTTTGTCAAAAGTTATGAATGATAATCATTGCATACTGGAAAGTACACAGACAGGGAATGGTCAGTTTAATCTTGTGCTCTATATTAAATTTGTTCTGTCCTCATCTCTCTTTCCAGCCAGATCTTCTGAATTTCAAGAAGGGATGGATGTCCATATTGGATGACCCAGGAGAGGTAAGGTGGAAGAATTATTAGAGCCCAATCATTTCCACCTCTCCATTTGAAGAATTATTCTTACTCTTACTGTTCTTTTTCTTCCATTCCCACTGAAATAATGGTTTTACGCCAACCCATTTTTAAAAATGTGGAAACCAAATATGGTTTTGATTTTTCTTCATAGTTAAATGTATTTCTTTACAGAAGCTTTTGCTGTGTAACATAAATGGATTATATGTATCAGTAAACTACCATTAGGGATCCTCTGTTGCATGTTCCTTGTCAAAAATGGCTGACAAATAAATTGGGAGATCCCTTTTCCATAATTAAGTGGCTACGCATGAGGCCGAAAGCTTTTTGAGCAGTATAGGTGTTGAATGGTTTGTGTTTTTGAGAACAAACAAATCTTATATTTTGTCTTCCTATTCTCCTTCGTTTGATGGTTTGGCCAACAGTGGACAAAGCACTGGTTTGTGCTGACAGACTCGAGTCTGAAGTACTACAGGGACTCCAATGCTGAAGAGGTAAGAAAGTGACCTAGCCTGATGGAATCTTTTGGATGTGGTAGTCAGATATTCAATGGAAGTGTACTGTATAATGGTTGTATGTATTTCCTGGGGGGTGGGGGGGGGGGGGAGGGGAAGTAGAAGTGAGGTGCTTATTTAAAAGTGACAAAGAAGCGTCATGTACTTTTCTATACACTGAAAAGATAACATGGGATTGCTTAGCTTGGAAATAAGTATTTAACTGACGTAGATAAGAGGAAGGAGGAGGCTCTAGTAGGCTGGAAAGGTTGTATATTGGTGATAGGAAATTCCTGGACTAGATGATTTGCGTAACACTTATGGTCTGGAGGTCTTTTCAGGCAGATGAGCTAGATGGAGAAATTGACCTACGTACTTGCACCGATGTGACAGAATATGCAGTGCAGAGGAATTACGGCTTCCAGATACATGTAAGTGTTCAGAAATGGGGAAAAAAGTGCTTGGATATGAAATAAAAGGCCCTATAGTTTACTGAGTCCAGCAAGGTATTCTTTAAAGTTCTTTAATTCTGTTGTGGAGAAGATGCTTCTGTTTTGCTACCATAATGAAGTAAACGCAAAGGATGGCAATTTAGCTTGTGAATTGAAATTATTTTCTAAACCACAGTCATAAAACTATAACAGAAAGGAACCCCAGTGCTCACCTTTCTGTTTGCCAAGAGACAGAGTAGAATTGACCAAGCTGAAGTTTTCCAAATGGAGTAGGCTGCAGTTTGCGTAATACTGTTGAACAGGGTGTTAAACTAAGTGGGATTCAGCTTCAGTTACAGCTAGTTGATTTAGAACTGTAATGGAGGCCATAATTTCAGTTGTGAATCATTGCAATCTTAAGGCATCACATGACTGGAGCTGGGGGGGGGGTTTGGCATTTTTTGCAGCAGTCATTAATCAAACACCATGATAATGGTTGTTAAAGGGACCTGGAAGTAAATGCTGAAAACCAGCAAAAAAATGCAATAATATAATATGTGCAAATGACTGTAAAGGTGAGCTGGTTGCCAAGCACCCAATCAGTGCATGATCATGGGGGAACGTGGCCATTGTAAATTCAAAATCAGGTTGTAAGTAGCTTTGGGGGAAGGGATCCATCATTACTTTGAACAGTTGGTAAGTAAATAGTCATAAGTTGAGGAATACCTGTAATACTTACTTTGTAAGGAAGTTCTTACGTGATTTTATCCTCATTGAAATCTGGCTGTTTCCTGTTTGATCAAAATCCAAACCTGAAGTCAGATGTACTCGTAGGATTTCCTAGCATGTGGAGTTCTCAGTGCTCTCTGAGCTCAGTTGTTTGCTTACAGATGTTTCATTTCCTGACTTCTCAGGCAAGTAAAACATTGCAAGCAAACAACAAAGCTCAGAGAGCACCAAGAACTCCACAGTTCAATCCTGAGCCACATATATTCTCTTCTGTTGCCAGTATACGCTGCCTTTCATTTGGCGCATTACCTTTCCTATGTTGAAGGTGAACCATAGGTTGAGGTGTACAATCAAGCCATACTTTGTGTGTTTCTTTTTTCCAGATTAAAGATGGTGTTTTTACGTTATCTGCAATGACATCAGGAATCCGCCGGAATTGGATTGAGGCTCTAAGGAAGAGTATTCGACCAGCCAGTGTGCCTGATGTCACTAAGTATGTGGTAGATCAAGCTTACTAATACTTAAATTATTAAATTCAATCTGTAGGAATATTTGAGCAGCTGTGTTTTCCAGCATTCAGCCAAATATAAGTTTCTTGAACATAAGTTTCCATGGTGTTAGAACGGGGATGCCAGAGCAATCATCTTAAATCTGGTGCTCTTTAACAGACATGGTGGTTGAGAATTTCAAGCAAAGCAAACATGGAGGACTGTGCTGAATTTTTGGTGAAAATAGGTTCCCTATGGAATTGAGTGGAGAAAACTGTTGCCCTTCACTACTGTTTGCATTGATCAATAGTTGTTCTCTAGATTTCATAAATCCTTTTTCCCCAGCCCTGATGACATTGGATATAGCTTCCTTTAAATGCTGATTAAGAGTTAGATTGCTGTGCTGGGCCTCCTTCCGATTCCCAGAGGTTGTCTAGTCTGATCCAATGCTATCAGTCTGGAATGCCTACTCTTCTCTCCAACTGAGCCAGGTGAAAATATTTACTAGTATTATTCATCACAAATGCTTTGTTATATTTCCAACAATCCAGTTATTGTAACTTCTTGAGAACTTGTTCCTCTTGAATTACTATGTGGGGTAATAGGGCTGACTGTACTTGGGTGGCTTCCAGATCTGGGTGTCATCTACACTGAGATTGGAGATCCATTGTAGGCAGTTTCTGCAAACAGTTCCTGAATGATTTCTACTTCTAAGTTCTGCATGACTTTCCTCCTGGTTCCAGGCTATCTGACCACAACAAGGAAAACTCATTCTGCAACAATAAATCCCCCAAGAGTTCCTTTCGAACCGAGCTGCAGCCCAACACTGGAAGTGAGGTGATATCCAGAGCTGGCAGCAGGAAGGCTGAAGGGCAGCAACCAGCTTTTGACTATGTTGAGTTATCCCCCTTACAACAGCGATCAGCTTTAAATCAGGGGTCCCCTCAGCGGTCAAGAGGGAGCACAAGAAGTTCAGATGGAGGAGTCAAGCGGGAAGAGTTGGAGCGGGACCTGGCCCTCCGCTCGGAAGAGAGGCGCAAGTGGTTTGAGTCTTCGGTCAGTGGAGGCCTGCAAACAGATGGCCCAGCAGAGAATCCTTGTCCTAAGAAACCTCAGGGGACTCCTCTTACTGAGGCTCAGAGGAGTCGGCTAAGTGAAGACATTGAGAAGAAGTGGCAGGAGCTGGAACGTCTGCCTCTAAAAGAGTCCAAACGAGCTCCGCTGATGGTGCTGCTGAACCAGGGCAAAGGGAACCCTGAGGATGCAAGTGAGGCACTGGAGAAAGAGGTAGAGAAAAAGGGAGATGGGCGCTTTTAAAATTTGATAAATAAATAAAATAAATAGAAGTAGCCACTGGTAATGTCCTGAGTCGTCATGTGCGGGAGGAAATACCTCTGTCCTTTTCACAAGCCTGAACAATGCAAATGTGCACATTCTCTGAATTGTTTCTGTTATTGATGCTGACTCTTTGAAATGTGTTGAAATAAGAAGGACGGAGAAACGTAAGCTTGTCTGTAGAGGTAGCATTTACTAATAGCATTTAGACTTATATACTGCTCCACAGTGCTTTACAGCACTCTCTGAGTAGTTTACAATGTCAGCATATTGCCCATTATAATCTGGATCCTTATTTTACCGACCTTGGAAGGATGGAAGGCTGAGTCAGCCATGAGCTGGTCAGGATTGAACTCCAGGCTGTGAGCAGAGTTAGCCTGCAATACTGCATTTTAACCACTGAACCACATGGCATGCCATCAGTCTGGTGTACTGAGAACACTACAGTATTGAATAGGAAAAGATTCCCTTCCGTGCTGTTAACATTGATGTCCCAGGCCAGGTTCATTTTGAGTAGTTTGACACATCCACCAATGAAATTTCGATCACTTAGCCATTTCACACACACAAGTCTGGCTCAGTACAGTTTGTTGAATAAAACGTAAACTATGGTTCGCAAACCACAGTGGCTAGATTTTCCTGACACACTAAAGCAAAATGGAACAAACCATTAGTTTAATACAGGATATGAAACATCCATAAAACTATTGTGCAACTTTTGTGGTTTGCTCATAACACTAAATAATAATGTGACACAAACCAGCACACAGAGATCACTGGAACGGTTCTATGTTTCATTACTTGCAGAAACAACATCGTACTTTGAAGCTGTCTGAGTATGGTGGCCAGAGCATAGAGTCATCTGGATAGAAAAATGACTTTTGAATGTTGCCAGCAGCTTCTAAAATCCACTGTCACATAGAAGTTGACTTCCATGCAGCAGTGATTATGATGTTTTGGAGCAGCAAAAAGGGGAAAATATTAAGGGGTTTAAAATGGATGTACTGAATTGATGTATCAGAATGCCAGCACGTTCTTATGTCATAATGTCATGGGTGTATGGATGGATTGGGGGAGTAAGTCCATTTGCCTTTTCTGGTGACCTGGGACTCAGGTTAACAGAAAATTATTCTTTGGTGGTGATTTGTTATTCTGCTAAATCATTTGTCTAACAGGTCCAAGTCCTGAGGTCACAGCTGGAGTCCTTGCGTTCCCATAATGAGGCAAACCTCCATAAAAATGGGCATGTGCCCCAAGGATACATTTCTCAGGTAATGGTAATAGCCCAACATCATCTTTACATTCTATGGCTTTTCCTTTCTCCACTCCAGTTGCTAACCAGCCAATGTGGATAGAGAAATGAAAACAGCTGGTACCATCTCCATCATTTTCCTATCAGTGCTATCTATGATTAATGTATCTGAAGTGGGACAATGCCTTTAACATACGGCAAATGTTGGAAAGGAAAGGACTTCTAATGCAAGCTCTTTCCTATTGCACTGCTCTTTAAAGTAGGAATGGGAAGCCTATGGAACTCCAGAAGCTGCTAACTTTGATTTGCAGAAACTCTTAAGGTTACCATGTTGGCTAAGGTATGCTGGTAGTTCAACAATAGCTGAGGGGCTGTAGGGATTGAAAGTGCTACCAAGTTGGCTAAAGTGTGTGTATGTGATTTCATCCTATCCCTTTTCAGTCTTAACCAATCATAATAATTGTAAATGCCTGCTTGTAGTGACTCAAGACAGTATTTTCAGTAGAAGGCACTCAGCTGTGGAATTTCCCTTGCACACAGTAACAGTTTCTATCAAATCTTGGGAACATTTAGCACCAACTTGAGTTCATTAAAATAGTGGATTTTGTTTGGTTGGTTTTTTTAAAAAATCCTTCCCACTTTTGGATTTCTTTTAGCAATGATTACAGACTTAAAAATTGAATGAACGGATGGATAAAGTACCTGTGACTTGTTGAAAAAACCAGTTTCAAACAGTAAAGTAGGGTTGTTTTAACTTTAGCTAAGGCTATTTGGAGTGCTTTTGAGGCCAGACAAAACTGTAACTCTAACCAGTGTGAATTGTCAAGCTTGCTCGGTGGTTGCACAACCAACAGAGAAGGTTGAAACCAAGGTTCATTATGTCTTGTTTTTATAATGTTAAATTACAATATAGCGTTTCCAAATAATAAGATGGTTGAAGATATATATGGTTAAGAGTATTTGCCTTTGAGGCGTAGGAGTATCTACAGTTTATAGCACAAAATAGGATGCAGTTAGTATCAACTAAATTATTTAGTAAGTAATTGGACAGGCTGAACTTGTTAACTGAAACTGTAAATTGGAGACCTCTCTACTTTTTAAAACTCCTTTTGTTAACTTTATTTTTATTAAAAATATTTCAGTGTTCTTATTATATAATACTCTAAAGCTTTTTAGGCCAATTATAAAATCATTCTAAAATATAGCAAGATGATGATTATGGATAGTTTTAATTGATTGTCTATTGAAACTTGAAACTGCTGTGCCTCTCAAGATCACTATACGTTGGAGCAGGCTATAAACACTAGAAATAAGTAAAGTACCTGATAACTATTAACAATTTTTAAAAATAAAATGAAAAAATATGGAAGGTACAAGTTACAGGCTAAAATGTAGAATTGATTTTTTAAAAATGATACCCAAAGATTAACCCCCCCCCACATACTCCTATTGATACTAAGACATAGCATGTATTGTGACTCATTTTTGAGTTATTTAGGTTAAATTTAAATTTTACATTTACACATATATTTACAAACTAAAATGTAAAATGTTAATATCTAACTTCGTTACTTGCTTTCCCTCTGACTTTGTTTATGAGATTTATTTATTTATATTATATCCAGCTCGCTTCAATAAACACCAGGTGACTTTTAATAAAACTAAATATTTTAAAACCTTTATCAATTAACAGTTATAATTAAAAAGTTGAAAATGACTCTGCAATGCACATACAGTAGCTCATAACAAATCCTCACCAAAAAAGCCAGTTCTGGTGGAAAGTTTTCACAGCTTTCCAGAATGCTTTGGAACAGGTGGGTCTCTAACTTTGGCAACTTTAAGATTTGTGGACTTCAACTACCAGAATTCCTCAGCCAGCAGCTGGCTGAGGAATTCTGGGCGTTGAAGTCCACAAGTCTTAAAGTTGCCAAGGTTGGAGACCCCTGCTTTGGAGAGATGGAGCCACCACCTCAAAGCCTGATTCCAGACTCCCACTCTAATCTCAGAGAAATAGGACTACATCACCCCTTCCTGGCTAATTAACAGGAAGACCAGATTCTATTTTTGGGTCCCATAGATAGGTTGGACCCAAACTATATAGTACCGTACATACAGAACAATAACAGCACCTTGAATTGTATTAAAAACATATTGATAATAAATGTAGCACCCTTATTTTCTATACTACTGAAGTGGTTTTCACCCACCAGCATGCAGTTTCCAGGTGGCCTTTATGGGCGGGCTAAGTAGAATGTATTGCAATAATGCTGTCTCAAGGTAATAAGGTTATGAGTCATTGTTGCTGAGGCCTCCCAAAAAGAGTCACAGACTAGCTGAAGTTGAGCAAAGCTTCCCATGGGGACAGATCCCATCTGCTGCTCCAGTGGAACCCCCCCCCCAAGTTGTAGTAATAATAATAATAATAATAATAATAATAATAATAATAATAATAATAATAATAATAATAATAATAATAATAATTTTATTTCTATACCGCCCTTCTCCCGAAGGACTCAGGGCGGTGTACAGCCAATTTAAAAACACAGGACACAACAATAATTAAAAATTAAAATAATTAAATAGATTTGGCCGATTTAAAACCCCAAAAATTTAAAATACCCCAATTTAAAATTATTATGTTGATAGCCCTGCCTGGCGGAACAACAGGGTCTTCAGTGCGCAGCGAAACACCCGGAGGTCGGAGATCTTACGTATTTCCGGGGGCAGTTCATTCCACAGGGCTGGGGCTCCCACAGAGAAGGCCCTCCCCCCTGGGTGTCGCCAGCCGACATAACTTGGCTGATGGCACCCTGAGGAGACCCTCTCTGTGGGAACGGACTGGTCGGTGGGAGGCTATTGGTGGCAGAAGACGGTCTCAAAGGTACCCGGGTCCTATGCCATGGAGCGCTTTGAAGGTGGTAACCAACACCTTGAATCGCACCCGGAAGACCACTGGGAGCCAGTGCAGCTTGCGCAGGAGGGGTGTCACGCGGGCACAACGAGTTGCGCCCATAACCACCCGCACGGCCACATTCTGGACCAGTTGGAGCCTCCGAGTGCTCTTCAAGGGGAGCCCCATGTAGAGAGCATTACAATAGTCCAGCCGGGAGGTGACAAGGGCATGAGTGACCGTGCGCAAGGCGTCCCGGTCCAGAAAGGGCTGCAAAGTTGTAGACCTGCTCCTTTAAAGGAAATGTAACTCTTACCCCGAGTGAGCACAGAGGCAACATCAAATCCAATGGTTTCTACATAAATACCGTATTTTTCGTACTATAAGATGCACCGGTGTATAAGACGCACCAAGATTTCGAAGAGGTAAGTAAAAAAAAAAGTGTTTGCCCTCCCTGGCTCTCAGGAGCACTCTGCAGGCTTCCCAAACCCTCTGCGCAGCCTGTTTTTCACAAAAACGGGGTGTGCAGAGGGTTTGGGAGGCTTGCAGAGTGCTCCTGGGGGCTGGGGGAGGGCAAAAACACCCGTTTTGGCAAAAATCAGGTGAAAAATGGGCCTGTTTTTTGCAAAAATGGAACAAGTGGGGCGGGGCTTCGGGAAGCCAAAAATGGCTGTATTTGGTGTATAAGATGCACCAACATTTCCACCCTCTTTTAGGAGGGAAAAAGGTTCGTCTTATACTCCGAAAAATAGAGTAGTTCCATCTGGCTGAAGTGTGGTTTCTACAGACCCCTTACATCCTGGACATAAATTGTTTCAAGTTCTACCCTCAAAATGATGCTATAGAGCACTGCACACCAAAACAGCTAGACACAAGGACAGTTTTTTCCCGAATGCCATAACGCTGCTTAACAACTAATTCCTACAACGCTGTCAAATAATTTACTATGACTGTATTACTATTATTCTTCTCTTCCTTACTAGTATTTATCTCTTCCCACTTATTACTATAAACATGTTGCTTGTATCTTTCAATTATATTGTTTTTATTTGTTTCCTAGTACGATCTGATAGCTTATTAGTAACCTTGATTATCACTTAATGTTATATCTTTTTATTCTCGATGAATATATTTTATTCTCCTTATGTACACTGAGAGCATATACACCAAAGACAAATTCTTTGTGTGTCCAATCACACTTGGCCAATAAAGAATTCAGTTCTGTTGAGATATTCTATACAAGATCTCTAAAATCATAATTCTTCAGAACTTTCAAAGCAAGAAGGTTGGGTCCAATAGAAGTTGTATATCTTTCAGATCAAGCAATGACCATTTGAAACAGAAGGTACTTGTCACCCCCATCCCTCAAAGTCCTTAACTACCTCCTTAGGCCAGCTGTTGATTCCCCGAACTGCCTGAAGGAAACAGACAGCAGATCTTATGCCTTCTAGCATGCTGTCCATACCCTCAGAGTCCACAAGATCAAAAGAATCACAGGAAAACTTGCAAGACAGTGCCCCAATTATCTAATTGGATTCTGCTGATGGGGAAACAAGATCTGAGTAAATGGAAGGAATTTTATCTGCACATGATTTTGCTGTCATGGGAGTCTGACAGAAAACCATCAAACCTGTCCTTCTCCAGTAGGGGTTATTGGTGATATTGGGAGATCTTCTACCAACACAGTGTGAGCAGATATACTGATGCTTTCCTGTCCTTGTTGTCCCCATGTCAGGCCAAACATAGGACTTCTACTTCATGGTTTGTAATGTCCTCAGAATTATATATGCCTTGATTGGTCAATTAAAACTGAATTTTAACATAGCCTTTCCATTGGCTTAATATGTAACCTGATAAAGCTGCCTGGTGCAGATGCTTTTGTGTCCCTTTTTCATGTGTTAAATCCCTGTTAACTTTTTTTGTGGTTATCTGTTCCCAGTGCTCCCCTATGGCAAACAGAGATGCATTTCTTGTTGAATTCATCACATAAAATGTGCTTTCCGTTCTTCTCTCCCCCATCCTCCTCTAGGAGGCATGTGAGCGCAGTTTAGCAGAGATGGAAAATTCCCATCAACAGGTCATGACAGAAGTACAGCGGCATCACCAGTGGGAGATGGAGCGGTTGCGGCAGGAAAAAGAGCGTCTTTTGTCTGAAGAGGCAGCTGCAACGGCTGCAGGTAGAATTTACATGACACTCACATAAAACTAAGCCGTAATGTTTATTTTTCTTCCTATATATAATATAAAAAAGAAGAAAATGCAGATATGTATTCTAGCCATCTATTTTTTAAATATTAAAAACATTGTCCATCATGCTGATAAAAGTTTTCCATTTTAGAATAGAATAGAATAGAATAGAATAGAATAGAATAGAATAGAATAGAATAGAATAGAATAGAATAGAATAGAATAGAATAGAATAGAATAGAATAGAATAGAATTCTTTATTGGCCAAGTGTGATTGGAAACACAAGGAATTTGTCTTTGGTGCATATGCTCTCAGTGTACATAAAAAGAAAAGATACGTTCATCAAGAATCATAAGGTATAACACTTAATGATAGTCATAGGGTACAATAAGAATCAAATCATACTAGGAAACAATATAAATCATAAGGATACAAGCAACAACGTTACAGTCATAGAGCCATAAGTGGGAGGGGATGGGTAATAAGAACGATGAGAAGATTAATAGTAATAGTCAGGCGGACTTAGTGAATAGTTTGACAATAGCCAGCCAGTTCAAAAGCAGAAAGTACTTGCCATCAATCCAAGAAAGTAGATTCAGAATATAGTCTTTTCTCTATAACAAAGCAATTTTTTAATGACCCATGCATAATACTTGGTACATATTTGTTTTGTTAGTGAATTCCATTTTTTTCTCCTAAATAGTTAAAATCATGTGGTGCTGCCCTCTCTCGATGAGGAGAGGCAGAGCATGTACTTTGGCAGAAGACAAGTAAGCATCAAAAACAATTGTACTCCACAGGCTGTAGTTATCGCTTTAAATGCCAAGGACAGAGCATGTAAAATTTTAGGAAAATATGATTGTCAACCACAGCAATATTTTCAAACAAGCAGAAGATAAGTCTTGACAACACGAATGAGAACAAAAGAGAATAAAAGGGGAGGAGAAACCAAAGGATGGGAAATTTAAAGGGAATTTACATTAGATATCTTATAATTATTATTATTTTTTTAAATTTATATGCCGCCCTTCTCCAAAGACTCAGGGCACTTACAAGGCGTTAAGCAATAGCCTTCATACTTTTGTATATTTTATACAAAGTCAGCTTATTGCCCCCACAAATCGGGTCCTCATTTTACCTACCTTAGAAAGGATGGAAGGCTGAGTCAACTTGAGCCTGGTGAGAATTGAACTCGCAGTAATTGCAGGCAGCTGGAAGCTAAATACTACCTTTAACAGTAGCATTAGTCTGCTGCGCCACTCAGGCTCATAATCAACAACGCTAGAACATTCTTAATAGAGATCTTACTAGAGAATTTGGGAGAGCTGTTACTTCATTTTTCATTAGTCCTTGTTAGGGAGCTTCAAACAGTATGGATTCATGCTATGGTGTCTTGTTCCTCTACTGCCCTGACTCCTGGAAATAGCAGGGCTGGATTCATTGAACTGGATTCTCCCCCTTTTTCTAGGTCATGCTTTTTAATAGCTTGAACTTGCAGCTGTTGATTTATTAGCATTGGGCATGCCGATGTCCATCTTAAAAATATTTTTTAGTTATTTGTAATCTAAAATGCATTTCAGTGGTGTTAATCTTTAGGAGCTATAGATCTGTTGATATATCCAAATCAAACTGTAAAATCAGCAGATGTTTTAATTAGATATATACTGCCATCCAGCATTTTTAGACAATTCAAATTCCTTTTGTAATAAATCATTATTTTTAAATACATTTTATAAATACCATAAAATAAGATAAAAATACAAAAAGAAACAAAAGTTAGAAAACTGACAGAAAGAAAGAGAAGTGCAAAGAAAGAAGAAAAAAGTAGTGACTCCCGATTTACTCAGTGCAGTAAGATACAAAAAAAAATTATAATCTCAACCTTTTGCTTTACATTTCAGAACCTTCCAAGCTATTCCTATAATAAGAAAATTATTCTAATAATCAAAACCTAAAATTAAAGTATCGTTTTTTTCCCAGTTTCAAGTAAAAAGTCCAGAAGCGGTTCCCAAGTAGAACTAAAATTAGATAAATTATTCTCTTTAATTAAAACAGTTTTGCCAACACCCCTATCTCCATCATTTTTATCATCTGCTCTTCCATTGTAGAAATTAGTGTGTCTATCCATCTTTCTGCATATAAGGTTCTTGCCGCTGTAAACATATATAATTGCAATTTTTTTTTCAAGTTCTTTGTCCATCAAACCTGAAAGGAAGACTCTTGGCTCCAATTTTATATTTAAGAATCTTCTGAATCAAGATAAACTCCCCTAATGAAGACTTCATATTTCTAGCTTCAGAAGTCTTTAATAGTTTTAAGATGGTTAATAGGCAATTTGTCAAAGTGATTAGAAAGAGAAGTTTACAAACTTAGTGTCCTTTAAAAGACTCACATCATGGTTGCAGGCAAGATGGCTGATCTTGTAATCTCCTGGCGCTCCAACCCAAGGAAACCTGCTGTCCTGCAATCTCCTCATGAGGAGCTGCTGTCCAGAGCACATGTGGCCAATCTCCCAACCTCTCTTTGTGCAGAGAAGTTCCAAGGAACTGGTCTATTTACCGGTTCCTTACTCTAGGCTGTAAGCACCGCTTTTGTGGAACTGTCTTTAATTCGCCATCGCCAGTAGTCCAATAGGCAAGTGAATTTCTCTTCAAATAATTGCTTTGAGAAACATAAGAAAAACCTCAAAGTAAAAACCTTATTTGTTAGCAATTATAATTGGGAATATATGAGATTTCTCCATTTAATTAAATAACCTGATAATTCAGTGTCCTTTTAATACTATGGCAGTACATTTTGGTAAAGAATATTCACAAACATCAATCAAATAAAATGTATCATTCAAATATAATGTGTTTAGCTCTAGCCACTGAAATCTCCATTATTTAAACATCAAGTGAACAAATGTTCTCTTTTGTCACCTGATACAATGTATGAGTGCAGAACTTAAATTCTTCCACTGGATTTTTCTCCTTTCCAAGACAATTTAGTTTGGTAATATATAAGATATATACAAGTTTAGCAGATTTTACTGATCCTTTCTTTGTCCTGTCTCTCTTTTCCTACCCTTCCCTTTGCTCTAGCAATTGAAGCTCTGAAGAAGGCACACAGGGAAGAAATGAACAAGGAGTTGGGCAGAACACGTAACTTTCAGAAAGGGTTTTCAGATCCAAATGCGCTCCAGCAACAGCATCGGTAAGCGACAATAGAAAAATGATTGAAGGAATCTTGACTTGTGAATTAAGATAGGCGATATAATTGTATCTATCAAAATGTTGATTGCTGTAGCATTTGATGAAAATCTTTGGGTGCGTTTTGGGAGCAAATTGACTTTGCCATCGATTTTAAGAGTAATATAGAAAAGAAAAATATAAAGTAGCTGGAGAGTAGTGCTATTAATTTGTGTGTTCATTTAAATTCATTTGGATCAAATTCAGTTTTTGTCCTACCTTTACAGTATGTCTTCCTTTGACCCAGCCCCGTGTGCATTTGGGATGCATCCCCTCTAGCTCATTTCGTTAAATGCAACCCTTTTATAGGAAAAGCTATTGATCTTGTGCTTTCAGTTTTCACTAGAAGCCATTGCTTGTATTCTTTCAACAGATAGAAAGATAGGTCAGAAAGATAGATTAAATAGGACCTTTAAGGCCCTTTTGCATCATAGATAGCCTAGAGAAGGAACTCTGGCAACTCAAAAAGATGCCTAAGCATATCAGACCTGGAAATGGGGATGATAGTAGTAGGCTGTATTTATATAGATCAGGGGTGTCAGAATCAAGGCCTGTGGGCCAGATCCAGCCTGTGGGGTGTTTAAATCTGGCCTGCGGGGCCAGCCTGGCAATATCAAAAGACCGGCCCGCAGTGCCTCTGTTGGCCCAAATGGGTCACAGGTGTGTGTGTGTGCAGCCCCTGTGCGAGCCATTTTCAGCCTCCCCGGCCTCCAGCAGCACTCTACCGGCCAAAAACAGCCATGTGGAGGCCTCGCGAGACTCCTGCGTGGCCCATTTTGGCTGGCAAGGTGCTGCAGGAGGCGTCTATTCCGGCTCCCCGCTCCCCACACCCCCCACCTGCCCATGGAGAACTACAATGCTGATCCGTTTCTCGAAGAAATCCAGTATGACACCCCTGGTATAGATTATCCTCTCAACAGGCTTCTGTGTCACGACGGTCACATTTTGTTCAGGATTTGCAAAATAAGATTCTTATTTTGGAGGGGACACACCAGATAGGGGGAAGACTAGCAGAGAAAATTTAGATGGTGTTGATGGTGAAATCCTGGTATCTGCTGCAGGTCTGATGTGGAGTCTCTGAAGCGGGAGTTGCAAGTGCTTTCAGAACAGTATTCCCAGAAGTGCCTGCAGATCGGGGGCCTGGTACAGAAGGCAGAAGAACAGGAACAAATGCTGCAGCGTTGTCAACAGGAGGGGAAAGACCTGCTTCGGCAAAACCAGGCAAGGGCTGGTGGTGCTGCCAATAGCAGAAATTCTGAGGGAAGGAACAATGACAGAGCAAAGTAACATTCATGAAAGTAGGACAATCTCCTTAATTTAAAATTCAAATTAAATTTACATACCAGTGAGCTTGCCATTCTTCTTACCTGGTGGTCCTTGTCTTAGCAACTAATTCTGGGAGATTTAGCAACCATTTTTGTGATGTCAGCCATAGATCTGTTTGGAATCCCTAGGATGCCGAGTCAAGTTGAGCAATAGAATAGCAAACACTATTGAGCTCTGGAAAGACAAGCTTTGGAGAGAGCCCTGGCAACGTGCAGCCTAAGATGTTTCTTCTCAAGGCTGCACAATTGAAAATGGTAGCAATTGTCCAGAGTCTTTTGTCAATATAAGAAGTTAGACAACCATGCTTTTGCTATATGTAACTCATCTTTTAATAACTTTAAAAGTTAAGAAATCGAAGTGGCAAAGCCAGAAACAATCTATCTCTCTTGAGGACGTTATCAAGTGTATTCCCTCCATGGCCCTCAATTATTGGAAAAATGTTTAAGTAGTTACTAGCTTCAAAAAGGCTTCCTCCACCTGTTATATTTGATGAATATGTTAAACTATTTCATCCTCATTCTTCCAGGAGTTGCAGAAGCGTCTGTCAGAAGAGATTGGCCAGTTACGAGACTTCATTGCTGCTCGGGGCTCACGTGACGGTGCTTCACACAATGAGAAGAGTTCTTGTGAGCTAGAGGTAAGGAGGGAAGGTTGCTTGTCGCCTAATACTTTTTGCCTGTCAAATTTTGCAGTTTCTTTTGTTTCAGGTATAATTTGGCTATCTAGCATTGTGGATGAAAATAAATGTCTGCTGAATCTAGAAGCAGATGCACACAGCTTTTGCGGCAACAAATAGCTCTTTTAAAATGGAGATTGGGGAAATGATAGATGAGCCAATTTAATGTTTCTTCAAGACAATTGGTAGAAGTGGTAATCAAGGACATAAAGAAAATAAAAAAGGATAATCAATTTGGATTTTTGTCAAACTTCTAAAGTTTTTTTTTTTAAAGAAATCTACCAAACAATAAGGTATGGTTGAACAAACATGGTTGATCAGGTTAGGTGAACCAAGCCATAGAAAATCAATTTGTTCATGAACACTATCAATTTCCTGCTTTGTGTCAGACATCATTTTATTCTAAGGGCAACCTAATTTTTGCTCTCTTCTGAGGCATTATCTCACCCATCATTAAGTGTTGTACCTTATGATTCTTGATGAACGTATCTTTTTTTTATGTACACTGAGAGCATGTGCACCAAGACAAATTCCTTGTGTGTCCAATCACACTTGGCCAATAAAGAATTCTATTCTATCTTACCACATTGAAAGTGATTTCGATAATAGACAATTGTGTCCTGAATTGTGTCCCTAACCCTAACCTTTTCCATCTTTCTTCTGAAGGTGCTTCTCCGAGTGAAGGAGAATGAACTCCAGTATCAGAAACAAGAAGTCCAGTGTCTGAGGGATGAACTCCAAATGATGCAGAAGGTAGATTTCTAAAAGCAAATCAGAGTTTCTGGTTTGCAAGAAGTGCATCCACGCGTAGGCGGAAACCGATCACTCCATTCCCTCTAACAGTATGCAGTGTTATCCAAAGAACAGAAAAGTAGAAAGCTTAAAGAAATTAAAGACATCAGGTAGAAAAGAAAGCCCAGCTAAAGCCGTTTTGCACCAAATCAAATTCTCTGTATTGCCCCATAGCTTTCTGCCCTGGCAAATCACTTTTGCTTCCATCATATCCATGCCTCGTTTTATACTCTGCCTTTATTCTTTAAATTGTTAGGCTCTCTTTTTTGAGGATATCAGTTCTCTATAAATTCTCAGTCATTCTTTTCAACTTATTTCATTTTTTTTATATAATTTGATTCTCTTTGTTTATGATTGACTAATACATTTTTTTCATATTAGTCACTTACTTAATATTCAGCCCACATTCATTCTTAATTCACCTTGATCTCATTTTATCATATTACATTGCATTCAACTTTATATTTCTCTTGTGATATACCTAACATTAAAAAAGTGGGCAAAAGCATGCTAAATATACAGCTATTGTCTTCTGATGAACATTCACTTCTTGGAATAGACCTATCTACTGTTTTTCTAGAAGCATGCACATCTTAAAATTTTTCTATCCAGGTTCCCATCTTTAACTAATATTCCACAATATTGGTGTACAGATCATCTATTTGCCTTACTTTTTGCCATTTATGTACTACTTGGAAACATTGAGTCTATTTTCCCTGTTATTTTCTCTGTTACCACAGCTACCTTTGTGTTAGATTGTGCATCTAACATTCACTTCATATCTAACATTCACTTCTAATCATTCAACTTCTCATCCAACACAATATCATCTGCATATTCTGGTTCATGCCCAGTATTCTTCTAACACAGGGGTGTCAAACTTGCATCACATTGTCATATGACGTATTGCGACTTTTCCCTCTTCACTAAAACGTGGGTGGGCGTAGTCAGCATGTGATGCATCCAGCCCACAACCTGCAAGTTTGATACCCCTGTTCTAACATCTTTATAAGTCCATAAATACATTAAACAACCAGGAAAACATCCAAAATCCCTGTCTTAAGTTCCATTCAATACCGAGCTATCTGCTCAGCATTTATTCTTATATATGCTTTGTTGCAATCATATACCACTGTTAATTTTATTCAGCAACAAACCTCCAGCACAAAAGATTCCATAATTTGAGCCTATTATATAATTAATAACATGTACTTCATCTCAGAAGATGCCAATGTCTTTCATTTGTATCCTTGGTTTCTATTCTTTCTGGACAATGGTACTTCCTTCCCCATGCAGGACAAGAAGTTTGCCTCAGGGAAGTACCATGATATCTACCTGGAGCTGAATCACATCAAGCAACGGTCAGAACGAGAGATTGAACATTTGAAAGAGCATCTGCGCCTGGCCATGGCAGCCCTAGAAGAGAAAGAGATGCTGCACAACAATATTGGTATAAAAGACTCATTTGCAATAAAGACGCATGTTGTGTAAAGTGGAACTAGCCAAGCTGCAAAGGCAGAAGGCGTTGGGGCCCCTTTTATCTCCCAACAGCAGAGATGCACCTTGTATTGCCTATCTTGCTGATTGCTTCACAGTGTTCAAAATCTTTCTCCTTTTCCTTCTCTTCTCTCTCCTCCCCTCTTCTGTATGCCAGAGGACAAATGCATAAACAAACTGCTTGTAGAAGGCTCCATGAAATCAGGTTGAAAGCCATAGGTTGGTCACTGCTACTGTATTGGTCTAGTCCAGCTCACTTTCATTCTGCATCTAAAATAAGTTTACAAGCCAAGGATGTTATAGCTACAATATATAAATTGTCATCACCAAGACACTTTAAATGTTTTAGACTTCCATCTTTCATTACTATTAGCATGACCACAAGCCCTCCTATGTAGCAAAGATACACTTTTTGAACATAATTTAATGTTCTTAATTCTACTTCTTTCTTTGTTCCATAGGTTAGTTACTTTTCGATGCGCCATTTCAGAGAAGAAAGCAGCATTCCTTTCCAGGAGCACTGGGCGAGACTTTACCAAATAGCCATCACATGCATCTGCATCACTTGGGCATGTTATGGGCTGGATCCTACCACTAGCACCTTTTTGGGACTCTATACATGAAAATAATTTTTATATTTTGGGGGATGGGGTTGGGGATATGTTTTAAAATCTTATACTTAAGTTTCCCAGCAGTTAACCACAAAGACGGACCAGATATTTCTCCCTAAAGTTCCTTTAGATTTAATTGTTCCTTCTCCCAAATATTTAGCTGTATTTACATTAAAAGTATTTATCTGCTTTCAGTTTTCTTCCAAATGGAGAAACAAAATCACACAACCCTCAACTTCAGGTTGTACAGTGTTGCTTCACAGCAATCCATGTTGGAGATATGCTGTGCCGAAAGAATGTTGTATTAGTTACATTGTCAATGGTTTGTCCAAAGACCATACAGAGTTTATGTTTAGGACCTATGAGTAGCAATTGTTTCAGAACAACGGAAGATTTTTTTTTTAAAATGTGGATTAAATGTCTGCGCATCCCATTGAGTCTTCCTCCCCAAAAGTTGGATTCAACTAATATGTTCTCATGGGGAGAAATTTTACTGCTGATGTTGCCAGAGCCAAACAATGAAGGCGGCTGATTTTCTTTTATTTCTGCAGAGTTAACTTAATAAAATCATTGTCTACAGAAATGTGTGGTTTTTGCTTGGCAGCAGAAGGTATAAATGTTGAACCATTTTGCATTCCCAAAAGGTTGACGCTTCCTCTTCTTATATTATCATTCTTAGCACTTAATGCCCTTTGGAGGTTCAAAGTACTTTCCCTGTTCTCTCTCTTAATCTTATAAACCTTTAAGGGAGAAATATGGGGAGGGGGGAGGCTTTATTTATATTTTGGATGACTTGCAATAGATCGTCAAATACTTGACTCCGAATTATTTGGCAATAGCAACAAGAAAAAATTTCCACTCCTAAATTCGTCTGTTTTATTCTGTTCTGCAAATGTAGTTTTTCATTATTTAATTAAAGAAACAGTAACTATAAAATCTATCCATGCTTGTTGCATGATTAGATAAACTACTAATGTTACTGTTACTTAGTGAGTGACTATTTCAATAAAGTGGTAGCATCAAGTTGAACTTGGCTGGCTCAGAAGACGTGGCCTATTTAGTAACTGAATGGGACATTATCAGGAAATCCCAGAATGGCAGACTCAAATGGCAAAAAAACATCTCAGAAGAAAACAACCCCCCACTTCTCTCTTGTTGCCAAGAAAACATGTCATAAAATCACCAGATACTGGGCTCAATGTGGAGGCTCTATACATCCCTCAAGTAGGAATACAACTACATATTTACAGCAGTTACAGTGTGCTCCCCAAACTTTTTCCTTCATTATCCAAAACGGTTTACCAGAAAATCCTTTTTACCAATATAGATAAACCATTTTAAGTCAATTTAAATGTCCTACTTGTGATTGAGTAATAGATTTGTGTGTTGTCACCTAAAGTAAAACCACTTTTACTCAATTTTGGGAAATTACCAAGGTTTGGGAAACATAGTGTTAAAAAATGTCCAAACTTGATTTTGAACTTGACCCCAAATCACCCAGTTTTTGTATCATAATGGGCTACTTTATAACTTGAACTTATTTCTCTGTTCCTATCATGCTGAGCCCTCTACATCAGTGATATCACTCTGAATGCAAAGGTTATTTGCAAACTATTTAAAGTATGCAGACATTCTATTCTTGCAAATCTGTTATAAAAATGTATAATATATAAGTGTTTTGAATTTTGTTAAAATGCTGTTATCAGTAGTAAATATTCCAAAAATTATGCTCTTACTCTCAGATATTCTCCCACTCAATTTGCTTTTTTAAAAAAAAAGCTCTGCATTTAGTATAATCTGTATTAATTATATTACACAGGATCAACTTTCAGAATTTAAAAAAATATTAAGACCATCATACTACCATTCCATCATGCAATTTAATTAGCCCACAATTGGTCTCCCTTTCCCATATAAAACAAGCAGAGATACATAATTTTTTAACATGCATGGCTTTATCCATGTTTTTTTTCATGAGACAATTCCAGTAAGTTCATAACATTCTCTTTCTCTCTCTCCCTTTCCCTCTCCCTCTCTCTCTCTCACACACACAGCACCCTTCTATAATAACTGGCATATCATGCTTCTCATTCACAAGGAATGGCAAAATGATAAGGCCAGTTTAAAAATAATCAGCAATTTCATGTATGATGTAATTTCATTTGTAAGAAAAACACATTTCACAGCTATTTAAAACATCTCCCTCTAAAAACGACCTTGACTGAACCAAGAGAATATAGTTAGCATATATACTGGAATTCAGGTAAGGACTGTATTTTTGTTTCTCCAGCCTTACTTTGATTAACCATGGTTTACTCTGTCCAAATCAACCATATGCTAATCGCATGGACTTGAATTGCAGATCCCTCTGGCTGAAAGGTGGTTGTGAATCAATTTGTCGCATTAACACAGCCATGAAAAGCCATGTAAGGGAAAATATACCTCTTGCGAATTATATTTGTAAGATACGGCTGGCTTTTAAATAGCTAAAATTCATCTTAAGGAAACCCTACTAAAAATTGTCACCTGTCGTCTGAAAAAATCATTGTCGTTGCAAAGAGATCCGTGTATGCGTCCCCCAATCTGGCCATTGCTTCATTCTCTCATTTATTTCGTAACCGGTTCCCCCCCCTCGCCGCCCCCGTCGCAATGCCTTTCTAAAGCAGCCGAAGGGGTCCTTAAAGGATGACGCCGAAATTAAACTCATTTTTTGTCGTAAAGCAACTGAGGAAGCGAACGGCATGTGCGTCCAGTATCCATCTCTGGCTATGGGAAACAAAGGAAAGGGGGGCTAGCCTCTTTTGGGCGATGCATGTAGTCTGTGCCGAAGAGGAAGCGTGTGTGACCACCCAGAAGCATTAAACAGTCGCCGTCAGAGACGAATTGCAGAGAGGAATAACGTTCCTATTTCTTGGATCCTCCCAACGTTGCGCTATCAAGTAAGGGAGAAGCCTTCCTTCTCCGACTACATTTCCCACAAAGCATTGCTCTCACGTTGTACGGTGGCCTTTAGCCATACAAACCACTGATTCCTTTCGCTCGGTAAGAATTAATCAGCTGATTGCTGAGAGCTCTTCAAAGAAACTATTGCTATTGTCAACAGAGAACTGTCAACGCACTTACATCCCATTGGGCTGTTTAATCGCTGGCCCTTATCGCAGTCCTTTAAAATTCTTTAGTAAATCATACGCGGCTCATACAAAACTACTTTCCTGAGATCTTGGCTCGTAATAAACACTAAAGCAGCAGAATCCAACTTTATAATTTCAATAAATTAAATATTTCTTAACTTTCGGGGAAACATACTTTAGAATTTTGTGTAACATTTTTTTTACTTTTTATATCATTTGTGAATCCTGTAAGTAACCTTCGATCGCACCGATTAGTTTTGTACATCCTCCAGCCATTTACAGTCCTGGAATACGGGTAAATTGGAAATTTAATCTACTGGCGCAATCTGTTCCCCTATTACGTTCCTCGCAGTTTTTCGGTATGAGTCAAGGGAAAAGGCAGCCTTAAAAGAAAAATTTAACGAGTGTGTATCCCCCCCCCCACACACACACACCCAATGTTCAAATTAAAAGTAGCCTGGATATTTAAAAAAAACAATATTTATTTTCAATAATGTGCATGATACTGAGATAGTGATAAAGGATAGAGATTAATGATCCTAGAGCCTAATCATTTGACAAAACAATAAGATTAGTAATCCCAATCTTTTTCCGCGATGTCGAAGTCAAAGCAATTAAATCGAGAGAGACGGGCCGGGGGCTGGAGCCAAGGCCCTTCCCCACCCCTCTATAGCCATCAACTTATTTGGAAGTCGCCCAGCAACATCGGGAGTTAGAAAGAGTAGAAAAAGCTGCCTTGTGGTTTAACTCTATTTATCTGTCCTTAAACACCCCCCCGTCCTCCCCCCATGCAACGGGGGTCTTTACTTTCTCCAAGTCGAAGAACGCCTGCTTCCCCCTTCTTTTTTGAAAGAACCTATGGAAGCTTCCCAAGAGAAAAGACGCAGGCATTGCAAAGGTGCTGACGTTTTATTATTCGCATTCTACTGCTGCCATATAACTGCATCTCATGGTTTTATGCTTAAAACAAAACACAAACATATTGCTAACTCGGTTTTTGGAACTGAGAAGCGACGGGGTATTTTGGAAACGGGGAAAGGTGCGAATCTACCTGGACGTGTTTTTTGGGTGATATTCTCCATGTTGCTAGGATGCCAGTTAGATCTTATAATTCCCCCCTTTTTAAAAAGTATTCAGAGGAGCGCTTTTTTTTTAACTTTTCCTCCCGAGTTTTTCCGATACCACAAACTGACACTTAGCAGCTCCGAGTCTTTCAGGTTGCAGCCACGACGCTTTTCATTAATTTCTTTATTAACAACAACAACAACAACACTCCTAAGAGGGGAGAAGGGGGAAAAAACAACCTCAGTTCTTCCAGCAAGATGGCGATTGCACGTACATGTAGTCTTCCAACAGTTAAACCCTCCGCCAAGGCTGGCAAATTAGGGTTAATTCATTTAGGAAAATGGTTCTTCAAGCCCCTGTCGCCTTTTACCCCTTCGCTTCTCGGGAATTTAGGTTGAGAAAGTGTTTTAAGTAAGAGGAGAGGCTCCACCTTGAAAAGCCCAAACAACAGCTCGTATAAATCTCCACTGTCTTTTAGTGGGGGACAAAACAAATCGGGGGGCCGGGGGCACGGAGGCAAGTTGAGCTGGGGAGTGATGAGAGGTGTCTGAGATAAGTCGACAGTGGGGTACTTAGGCAATGGGGGTGTTGTGTCCCCCTCCCCTTTCCCTCTTATGTAGATACATACTTATTATTTTGATCCCATTGCAGGCAATGAAGTGCGTTTTGGGGTAACGGGGGGCGAGTGAAGAAAGACCCCACTCTGCCCCTCTTCGTCCGAAGTCAAAAGGAAGATCCAGATGCGTCCCCAAGCTAGGTGCCCCCCAACTCCAAGCAGGGGGCTGCCAGGTGGACCTTGGGGGAGGGGATGGCTGCAAACTTCCCATCTAACAAAAAGGAAAGTTTTCTCAGCGCTAGGACTTGGGGAGGGGGCGGCTGGAGGACGGGACCCACAGCATGGGGGGCGAGGGTCCCCCCACAGACACCCCCAACCCGGGGGGAGCCGCTCCCCCCACCCTTCCTGGCCAGGTCTTAGCTGAGTCTCGGCTGGCTCGGGGCTCCCTGTGTTAGTTGGGGTCTGCTCCAGGGCTCCCCGCGCGGCTCTTGGGGCTCTTGGAGTGCCGGAACAGGGGTTTCCCATTGGCCCAGGGGTGCCTCTTGCTGGCCGCTTTCCCTCTTGGCTGGGCTCCCCTCGGCTGCTTCGCTAGGGGGGAGCAAAGGGGAAATGTCGAGGCGCCCCACTCGCACCCAGCGCCGTTTGGGGCGCCCTGAAGCGGCGGAGGACGGCTGCAGAGGGAGCCGGCCGCGGGGACCAAGAGCTGAAGGACCGGAGCAGCCGACGGCAGTGGTGCGGAATCCAAGAGCCACGGGGAGAAGCGGGAAAAAGCCGCTTTAGGCGGCGGAAGAAACACAGATGTCGGCGGCGCGGCGCCATTCGGGGCCTGAACAGGCAGCCAGCAACCCTGTCCTCACCGCGGTCCGCGCCTGAGCGCTAAATACCCGGATGCGCCGGCTGCTGCCTAGAGAGCCAGACACAGAGCAAGAAGCGGAGGCAGGGCGCAGCAGAAGCTGTCAGAAGAGGTGGGGAATTGAGTCCCAGAGAGAGAGAAAAAAAGAAGGCAAGCAGGAGCTGGGCTTGGGCACAAAGCAGTCCCCAAGCCTGGGTGCGGACACCTGCTTTCTTGAAAAGACTGGTGAAGCAAAAAGGCCTTAGCCAGAGCTGCTTCTCAGGAAGGGGCATTCCCGAAGAAGACTGTCCTGACCACACCCTGCCACCAGCTGCCTGGAAAGACTGTCAGGAGGTGACATCCTCCTTGGACATTAAAAAAGAACTCCTGTCAGAGAAACTGTTGGCGAAAGTTCAGTACATCTCAGCAGGATCTTCTGTACCACGCAAGCTGCTGGGAAGAAGTCCCCACGTGTCTAAAGAAAGTTTAGGACCAGCCCCAAGACCGGTGGCTTGGACACCAGACCTGTCTTTCTGAAAGGAGACTGCGCAGCAGGATGACTGAAAACTCTACCACGGCACCTGCTGCCAAACCCAAGCGGGCCAAGGCAGTCAAGAAGTCCACAGACCACCCCAAGTACTCTGACATGATTGTGGCCGCCATCCAAGCTGAAAAGAGCCGGGCTGGTTCTTCACGCCAGTCTATCCAGAAATACATCAAGAGCCACTACAAGGTAGGGGAGAATGCAGATTCCCAAATCAAACTGTCCATCAAGCGGTTGGTCACAACAGGTGTCCTAAAGCAGACCAAGGGTGTCGGGGCTTCAGGTTCCTTCCGCCTGGCCAAGAGTGATGAACCCAAGAAGGCTCCAGTCAAGAAGGCCAAAAAGGAAGTCAAGAAGGCTACAACACCCAAGAAAGCCGCTAAGCCCAAGAAAGCTGCTGCCAAGTCACCGGCCAAAAAGCCTAAGCCTGCAGCAAAGAAAGCCAAAAAGAAGCCAGCACCTGCTCCAAAGAAAGCCAAGAAACCAAAGACTGTCAAGGCCAAGCCGGTGAAGGCCTCCAAGCCTAAAAAAGCAAAAGCCTCCAAACCCAAAGCAAAGTCCAGTGCAAAGAAGTCAACCAAGAAAAAGTGAGGGGCAAGTTTGGGACTTCTTTCTTGGAACTTCTTCTTGACCTCTATTCTGTAAATAGATTTCTTCTTTATTCTCTACTCATTTCTATTGCAGCTTTATAAAGACTGAACAATTCTTGCCCTATACTTTAAAAAAAATATTCATATGAAAGCTACATTGGGGGTTTGGTTTTGTTTTTCTATTGTAATTTGAAAGATTTTTATGTCATTATTTTATTTCCCTTCTCTATTAAGGTATGCAATACATGTGTCTAAGCATGAGGGAAGATTAATGAGGGAAATCTTGGTGTTCTTATTTTTGGAGGAAGATTTGAGAAATATTTGATGGAGGGGATGTATTATGGGTGGGCCTTCTTTAATTGGATCTCCTCAACTGAATATACCCACAACTGATCATTGTAACTGGCTATTAAGAAAAACAACTTTGTTTTATCATGGATGAATAAGCTTCCAATTTAGCTAATATGGTGGATGATTGTTTCTAGACCTAGTGAAGGCTGGATTGGTTGAGGTTAATAAGCTTTCCACTGACTTCATTCTTTCAGAGGGGGACTGTGCTATTTACAGGGAAGATTGAAATGGGGTCAGTGAAAAATACTGCAAATATTTGAATTTCTCCCTCTTTAATATTTGTACATGTTGGCCACATTTCTGTTCCTCAAAAGAGAATAGAAATAATCAGGAGGGGGTGTGTACACAGACTCTGACCACCATCTGGTTCTGGCAATTTCAAGAGAAAGTGTTACAAAAGCGATCCATTACCTGCTATTGGAATTTGGATGCCTCCCAATTCTGCAGTGTCTGCCACCTAAAATTACAACTTTTATATAAGGAGTATAATCTACAAGATTCCTCCCGACTGTCACTTTTTAATGATGGTCTTTTGAAGGTAAGGGAGGAAGAACAAATGTTAGGGGATAATAGATAACACAAACGTAGCCAATATTGAATCTAGGAAGCTGTATACAATTATCGCTAAGGTTTGGAATGTTTTTCCCCAAGAGGGGAGTGGAAAACATAATTTTAAGTACTCCAGATTTTAAAAATTAAGTATGCTTATGTTTAAACAAAAGAAAATTCTTATAGGATTGATATCTGATTGTTCATTTTACTTTGTATGTGTAATTTTGTGCAAGGAAGATTTAGCTGTCTTTGTAATTTTAGGGTTTAAAATAAAATGTAAAACGAACTAACGTTTTAGTTATTCTTCATTTACATTATGTTGTGTAAAAATCATTTTTATAACACTGCAGAATGAGTTATATATCTTCAACACTAGACAGATCAAGACCATTATTCTTGATCAAATAGGTTAACTTGAAAGGAGAAAAGAGACAGTTTTTTGGTAATGAAAACAAAGCAGTAAGGAAAAATATGTGCCCAAACCTAGGTTTCTCCATTCTGGTGTTCTCCAGATACTTCTTTCCCCTCTCTTGCATCAAACGTATCTGGGAAGCATGAGTTTAAAAAAGCTTTATTATAATTCTATATAGACATAGCATTGGTGGCAAGTGAAGGAATTGGATATTTGAGAGGTTGAAAAGAAAAGTAGTTTTCATCACAGAAAAATCAATATAACTTGGCCACTAGATGTCAGCCCAACAAAACATAATCTCATTTTACTATGAAAATATGTTTTACAGTAAAAATATCCAATCTGCTATTTAGTTCTTTGTCTAAACCCTGTGTAAACTATAGACAAAGTTGCATTTACATTACAAATGTGTGTGTGTGTGTCACGGTTGTTTGCTACAATATTGAAAACTCTTACATAGTATCATAGATGGTAAACATTTGATATTAGAACCATCAGATGGACCCACAGTGTCTGGTTTGGAATTTGTAATAGAGATAGGAACAACGTGAATAGAATATTTGGAATTTATGGACTGCAAGAAAGTACTTTCAAGGAACAAATACATCTGTTCCTCCAAAATACCATGCAGATGTGGCTTTATAAAGTTAAGCAATTAATTGACATTTGTCTGACATGTTTAAGATCAAAATTCCAAATGGAGAATTGTTTGCTAAATCTTCACAATGGCTCCTGCATCTAGTCATAAGACTGAGATAAAATAAAGGGAAATAGAGAAGGGAAATTGAAAGGAGGCATGCATCTGGATCACTTTCCATATAGTGCGTGCAACACACATAGCTGAAAATATATGTTTGTCATTTGTCTTGTGATGCAGTTGGGAAAGGTGCATCCACAATCATTGTTTTAAGCCAGGATGCCTGCACTCATTCACCACACATTGCTGTAAATAGGTTTCTCTAAAGTCAGCCAAAATCTCCAACTTCAACAAGTCTGTTACTGAAACACAAAGTAAACACAATAATTTGGGAAATAGGCCTTGTGCTTCAATATTATCTGATTTTGAAGGTAGGCATGCAAACAAACAAAACCCTGGTGTTTCCAGTTTGAAAAAAACATGAAAAAAATCTGAAAAATAGAATAAGAACAACTAACATTCTTAACTGAAATATAAAAACTTGAGCAGGTTTGGGGTGTTTCCATCCTTGAAGATCGGAGGAAGAAATAAAGTAAAAAATAAAGTCCTGTAAACTAATAATTGTAAACATAGATTATCAAAGAACAGTGAATATAAGAGCATATCCTCCCAATTGTAGCACAATTTTGAAAAATCTCACTTTTCCCCAAATTTGAATTTTCACCCTCAGATCCAGCTAAATAAATGCACTTTAAACAATCCTAGTGAATGTTATTGTTAACATTAACAAGTTAATAAATGTATAATTTTAAATAAAACCTACACCATCTTTTTGGCTACTTTCCAGATTTTCTTCTCATATGCAAAGATTCTCCAAGCAGAATAAAAATATTCAACACATAAAAGCAACATTAAATTATAACAGATCCAAAGGGTAGCATAAAACTATGTGTAAATATTACATGCAGGAGCAAAAAGATCTTGGCATGTTGATCAATTACTTCCAACCTTATTTGAGGATTGTGGGCGCTTTCCTGAGTCTCTTAACAACTGGGCTTTTCAGTTTCATTTTTTTTAACCTAACAGTGGGGAACCAGATGTTCATAGAACTTAAAATGTGTATTTTTCCTAATTTGTTCAAGTACATCTTTAGTATTCAAGGCAGGCAAGAGAATAATGTGCAGATTTTAAACAACATATAGGAGACCTACTTCACTGCCTGATTTATAATTTTGCTTTATTAATGCATTGCTATAGGCATTTATTTTGCATGATATGTTACTCCCCCTCTCTCATTTGTTCCTTACCTTTTCTGATCTCTGTAGGGGGCTTACAGTCAAGCCCAAAACACAAAGGAACAATTATGAAATGGAACAATGACAAACATAACAAAACAAAAATTAAATCTGGGTACAGAAACCTACAGCAGTTGAAAGAATTTGGTCTCTATCAGGGAAGTTTGGATTTCACATACTATTGTAAATCTCAAACGCCACACAACTTTATACAGGAAAGGCAGTCTTTCAAATAATTAGATCCTAAACCACTAATTGTACAAATTGTAATCAGCATTTTGAGTAGTCCCAGCAACAAACCAGATATATACTAGACATTTCAGCAATATGGGAGTGCTTCCTAAGGTAGTTCTGCCTGAGGCAAATACTTATTCCTAATCCATCTCATATTTCTTTTGCAGAAGGGGTTCAATGGACTCTTACTACAGTACTGGTAACAGGATAGCATTTTTCAGCATAAACGTCTATGGAGATTCTCAGTCATGCAGGTCATAGTTGTCCCAAAGTTGTATTTTCAAAAGGCAATTGGACTTTGTTTTTCTTTAAAGACGTTTCACTTCTTATCCAGCTTCTTGAAGTTTCTTGGATGAGAAGCGAAACATCTTCAAGAAAAAACAAAGCTCAGTTGCCTTTTGAAAAAGCACCTTTGGAACATTTTTCAGCATACAAACAAGATATTTAGATCAGCAAGCTAGTTTAGGAAGTGTGGGTGAACTATCCCTCTCTGAGATAAACTTCTTAAATTTGGAAATAGAGATTTCCTAGTCTGAAATCAGAGCAGGATAGACATATGGGAAGGGTCATTCTACAAGCCAAGAAGAGACTTATTCTGCAGCAGACGTTCCCTCCAATTTCCAGCCATCTTATCTTACTCAACAGAACATCGCATTAAAATCCCTGGGTGTGGATCAGTCAATTCCAGATAATTTTTGGATCCCATGTGGGTTTGCATTAAAAGGAAAAGCACTGGCAATTTGAACTGATCCTATGTCCTGATTTCTATTGATAAGTTATATATGGTGAATTGATTGTAGCTCTCAAACTGACTTCAAGGTAGTTACACAGGGGAAACTTGACAGTAATCTAACCATGAAACTAAGCAAAATATCTCTAAAGTTTCTATTTTGGAAAGTTTGCAATTGGCAGTGTAACTTTGATACCTATCTGGAGAGGTATTGAAACTCAGAGAAAAAGTTTAAGCACCTAAAACCCCAGTGCTTCTGAGTAGAAGAAAAAGGGATGACTAGTCTTAATATATACTATATACTATTTGATTTCCTTTGAGAAATAAAGATTGTGAGCACAGGTAACAGGCAACCGGGTAGATTCATTATGCTATGTTCCATCTCCAGAAACACCCAGTAGCTTCAAGAGCCATTGCTTGTGTTCACTTAACAAGCCACATACAAGTAATCACATGTTGCTCTAGTCTGTTCTATTAACTCAGCAAAAATGAGCTTCTCTTTTTCACAGATTTCAGTTGCATTAACTTGGTGGAGGAGAGAAGAAAATACCCTGTATTGCACAACAATTCTTATTGTCCATATTAACATTTTCAAAAGTTTCCATTGTTTCTCTAGCCAGACATCTCCTTAAACCAGTATTTCTTAAAGTGTGGCCCTAGGACCCTCCAGAGATCTCCAAGACCCTCTCAGGAATGTATAAAATCAACGCCAGCCTATGTTGAAAAATAATACACTATTAAAATCAAATCAAATAATCATAAGAAGCAATAATGGCAGAAATTGCATCCACTTTAGTTTTTAAAACAAGAAATATCAATAAATATAACTAATACGAACAAAACTCTTTTGGGATCCTGCATAATTTTTAGAAGTGAAAAGGCATCCTAAGAGAAGCAAAGTTTAAGAAACAAATGAAAAATAGCGGAGATCAGTTAATTCTAAGCAAGTTAATTTCAAATTAACTTAAGCAAGCTCTCAGGTTTCTTTACATTCTTTCCTGTTAGGCCTGCCTTACTTGTTCCAATAGCCCATCTGGCTATTTTTCATTCCGCTCCTTACCAATTTCAGTTCAATTTCTGCTCCGCTTTAGAGTGTCAGAATATCATTTTTTTTCCCCCTAACGTGTCCCTGTCTCTTTAAATAAATTCTGCTGCTTATTGGTGCGGCTGGAGGGAAGAAGCCTTTTCTTTTCGCTGATTGGCTGCTCAGTCCACGCCTCTTTTTAGAGTGAAGCGCTCGCCAGCCAGATCTTGTCTTCTCACTTTGTCTGTGTTTCCTTCGGAGCCATGTGGGGCAGCCAGTTCTTACGGCCCCCGTTTGTCCTGGGGCAACGTAGCCCTTCGCGGGCGCGGTCTGCTTTGGCCCAGCTCAAGCGCCTGCTGGAGGGTGAGCTGGAGGGTATCCGAGGGGCCGGAACCTGGAAGAACGAGAGGGTGATAACATCAAAGCAAGGCCCGCATATTAACGTGGAAGGCAGCCGAGGAGGTAAGCCGTTGGGAAGGAGAAACGAAAGGGAAACGGAGCTTTGGGAAGCGGGGATACAGAAAACTTATTTGGCAATAGTTTCAGGGAATCATGTTCCTCTTTCTTATTGAACTGACATATTTGGTAAGCAGAAACCAGACTTATCATCTGATGTATGTTAATGGTGCTGGTAACAGTAACAGAGTTGGAAGGGACCTTGGAGGTCATCTAATCCAACCCCCTGCTCTCTCAGGAGACCTATACTATTTCTGATAAATGGCTGTCCAGTCCAGGGGTCTGCAACCTTAAACACTCAAAAGAGCCATTTGGACCCGTTTCCCACAGAAAAGAAAACACCGGGAGCCACAAAACCCTTCCTGTGCCTGACTATTTCTTGAGCGGCTCCAAAACTAGCATATGCCGTTAAATGAAATGTTCTGTTTTATTCTGAAACTTTTCTTTTCTTGGATTTATCCATGGGTGGCCTACCAGGAATTGAAAAGCTTAATAATC